TAAACAAGTAAAAGACTATTTTATCCTTCAAACTACTTGTTAATTAACAGGTTGAATACAAAATCGAATCAATGAATCGAACGTCTTACTAACTAAATAATTAATTAGTCAGTAAAAAAATAATCCAATCCCATCTAATCCAAACAATTCCGATATATGTAACCGAACGAGACCTTAGTATTATATATGTTGTTTATTAGTACGTACCTTGCCACGCCTCTATATTTCGACACTCCTCGAGAAAATCCACTGCTTTTTCTGCAATTTAATTTCGCAAAAGATCATTTTAAATTTTAAATATAGAAATCATCTATATATAATTTTGGAATTTATAATAATTATATATTATATATAATATACCTTCTTAATGAACCAATGTACTCTTCCTTAGATTGGCCCTCCATTTCCATAAGCTCTTTTTGATAGGTTGAGAGCTATATTTTCATAACAAACAATTAATATGATCATAAATTTATGTTAATTAATTAATTAATAATAAAAATAAATAAAAATTAAAATAAAATAGAAATAATTTACAGGAAAATTAAGGATGGTATCTTGTCCCCAATACTTCAATGCAGCCAAGTCATACGCATGTGCAGCTGCTGCTTCGTCATCGTAGGCCCCTAAATTAAAATTATAAAATAAATAAATAATTAAATAAAAGAAAATAAAAGAAAAAAAGGATAAGATCAATTGAACAAAGCCAAAAGTAATCAAATCAAAAAGCCGATCATCACTCAAAAAAAAAAAAAAAAGAAAAGTCTGACTTTTATTTCTTTTTTTCTTTTTCCGGATTTAGATTTTGTGAAGTAAGATTTTGTTTTTTTAACCTTTTTATTTAATTTATTGTTGATGAAATAATGAGAATAATGAGATAATAAAATAATAATAGTAATAATAATTAATAATCATAATTAATAATAATAATACGGTCAAAGTACGTACCTAAATATACTGCATTCACGTAGGATCCCACCATAACCACCATTGACGTACGTAGAGCAAAATCAAGAAAAAGGGCAAAATCGGTAAACCGTATTATTATTATTATGTATAATTTTTTTAAATAAATAAAAAAAATGGAAAATGAGTGATGAGAGAAATCAAACCTTGTCTTCCTTTCTTGTTCTGAGATTCATTCCAGCAGTTTTTATCCCACAAATGAGCTTCATACCTCCCCGTCCATCGGTGCCTGTGAAATGACCATTTTGCCCCTCTCATATATTCAGCATACATCAATTAAAAATAAAAAATAAAAAAAAATTAATAGTAATGAATCAACATGTTTGCATGCATAGAAAATATATATGAAGCGAAAAAATTACCGAGTAACGCCCCGGTGAATCGAGCTACGTTGTTGCGGAGACTGTCGGGGGGAGCTTTTTCGTGTTCGTTTAGCTTTGGCAGTGTTCTTGTTATTGTTATTGTTGTTGTTCTTGACGGTGATGTCAGCAACGACGTCACTGTTCTTCTTCGGCCTCGAAGATCTCACCATGAAATCTCACTTCTAGAGAGAGAAAATATATCCCCTCAATTCTCAAATATTGCGCACGTGACTTTATATATAGTTTTGATGAGAATAAGGTGTGTATATATATAATTTGCTAACTGAAAACTGTAAGACCAATTCCTCCAATGAGAAAGGAGAGCCCAAATATAAGTGTGTGTGAAGATTTGGGGGGTGGGGGTGGGGGTAGGGTGGGGGGTGGCCGGGTGGGGGTAGGGGTAGGGGTGGCAAAACTAGAGAGAGGAGAGCCGGCTGAAAAAAATGGTGGTTTTTTTGTAATTAGTGGCCGTCTTTGAAAGGGCTAAGTAGTGTGTAATGGTGTATATATGTGTGTTGTCCTCACTCGATGATTTATTTAGGGCTCGTTCGGTTACGTACGTCGAATTAATTTGGATTAGGGATTGAATTAATTTCTTACTGGTTGATTAATTAATTAGTTAGTTAACAATAATTATATTTTGATTTATATTATTTCGGGATAAATTGTGTTTTTTTTTTTTGTTTTCGGGATAGGTAGGCCAAATATCACTTATAGTCCGGGGCAATTTTTTTTTTGGGGTTGTTTTGTTTTGGAGTTTTTAAAATGGGGTTATTTTTGAAGTAGTAATTAAATTGGTGTTGGCCGCCACTGGAACGGCGGCTCGAC